CTTCTTGAAGGAAATGCTTAGTTTTCACCAGTTGGAGAATTTAGAATTTCAAAAAGCCAGAACAATTTAATTCCCATCCCACCCCCACTACCACCCCAGCTCTTTCATGCTTTTCAGTAAAATTCACCTTATTGTTCCTTCTGGAAGAATAAGCCACCATTTGGCAAGGGGAGCCACTGGGGGCATGGTGTGGACATTTCCCCCAGGGGATGGAAGGAAGAGCTGAAGAGTCCCTTCTTTTCCAGTCAATGCAGATGCTTCAGAGAAAACCTCCCATCCGGGGTATCAGAGCGTAAGTTCTCTCCAGCAGGTGGGAAGGGGTGGGGTGGGGTTCCCCAGTCTGATTTTCTTAACTTCCCGCCCCAGCCCCTATAGGAAACCAGATTCTTCCCTGGTTGACCCAATTAGCCCAGAGCAGACCGTTCTGAGGGATGAAGCCCAGGCCTTTGTCACTGGGGCGGCATTTAATCGCCCACCTAATGCCTCAGTGTAGAAAGTCGGTGAATGCGAACACTTTCGTGTGAATGATTCCTTTTAATGAAAACAAGGAAAGACTCGAGGGGATCCGAGGGTCCGGAAGCTGCGCGGTTATCATGGCAACTTGAGAGACGTTTCCAAGTTGAGTTTGGTCGTTCCCGCATATCGAGAGGCCGGTCGAATTTTCTGGACGGTTTAGAAGGAGGAAAGAAGTTGCCCCGGGCCCTGTTTGACCAGACGAGGGCCATGGGGACCTGGGAGCGGCGGTCCCCCGAGAACGAGAGAGCTGGGGGGACTCCGGCGCCGTCCGGTGCAGCCTTTCGCGGTTTCGCGTACTCAGCCCGCCGCCGAGCCCTCCGCCGGGAACGCAGGACGCGGTGCGCGCGCGCGCGGGGACCACGGAGATGGCTAGCAGCTCTGCGACCCGAGAAAGCCTTAGGAAGGGGACGGCTGGGGCCGCGCGGGGAGAAGCCGCAGCTTGACCGGTGGGCCCGCCGGGAGCAGGCAAAGCGGCGCGGCGGGAGCGCCGGGGAGACGGGGCGCTGGGGAGCGGGGGCGCTGGCGAGCGCTGTGCTGGGAAGGGCGCGCCGTCGGGCTTACTGGAAACGCGCCGGATCAGGTTCCAGATCAATGAGATCTGGGTCCACACGTTTACGTTATTGTTGCCAGCATTAATGCTCTTTTAATCTTCTAAACATTATCAGCATCGATCTCCCTCCATATACACATTTGTTTGAGAAAGTGACATAACCACACGGTGGAAAGCCTGGAATAAAAATAAATGCACAACCGCTCGCGTCGAGGGCGCCTGGCCGCCTGGGCTACTTCTCGCGCTCGGCTTCACTACCTTTCCTTGCGTTCTGTCTTCGCCCGCTCCCGCTCACCCTGATGCGTGTTAGGAAGGTGTTTTCCAGGGACCCGGGACTTGACCAAACAAGGGCAGTAGCGAGCTTTTCAATTATTAATCCGACCAGCCAGGAGGCGAAAGTGTCTCGTGTTCGGTACGGACGTGGGTTGCGTTCGGTCTCTGGGGCTCGGATCCCGCTCTAAACTGCGGGGAGACGGGGGCTGAGCTGGGCCTGGAGCCCGACCGGCGGGAGGGGCGGTGGGTGTGAGGTTCCGACAATGAGGTCCCCGCCTCTCCGCTTAGAAGATGCCAGTCGGCCAGCGTAGCCCACGACTTTCCTGGCGCCGAAGGAGAAACGCTGGCCTGTGGTGCCCCTGGCAGGAACCGCTGAGCACGGTCCCGGGCAGGCTCTGCCGCCGCGGGCGTCAGGTGGCCCAGGCAACCTCTTGGCAGGTTGGTGAAAGGCCATGGCTGTCTGAACAGTTGCCTCCAGACTGGCCGCTGGGAGTTGCTGTCTGAAGAGGGCCGTATGTGTGTCCATCGCCCGGACACGTGGCAGGTTCCCAGCAGGCCGTCCCGGGAGCCGGGGTCACAGGAGGCGCAAACCGTGGCAGGTTATACCGTCAGAGGCTCCGCTCTGGCTGCTGGGCGCTGGAGGAAAACACTCTCGCCACGGAGGCCCTGATTTTCCTCCGTGAGCCGCCCGTCCAGGTTTTGCCTGGGTTTTTTTTTTTTTAATCCCTCCTTTTTCGCGTCCGTGCTTGGTTCAGAGGCTTCTTGGGCTCAAAGCCGGGGTGTGTTAGTGTTTAAACCCGCGGGAGTTTGTCCTCGCCCGCCTGGTGCGGGGAAATACAAACTGCCCTGCGGGAGCGCGCGCTGAGAGCCGCCGAATGCGCGGTTGCAACTCCTTGCTGCCTTGGCCACCCCTTCCCAACGAAATCGTGCTCTTGGGGTCCGTTTCTCTGAAATCTAGTGCTGGGGCGATCTGGGTTTCCCCGACGTCTTGTCCCTGACCCTTTGAAATGCCACCCTGACCTGTGGATACACCCAAGCAGTGGGCGCAAAGGAGAGAGGCCTGGGGGAGGCAAGTGGGGGAGGAGAAGAAGGACCTGCTTCTGGGGCCCCTAAGGGTGAGGTCTGCAGGAGCGGGTCCAAATCAGACATCTTGATTCCGAGGTCCTTCAGATCCCTGTCTGCTTGGGCCTCTGGCAAGACCCAGAGGGGTCCAAATTGAGAAAGAGAAAGGGAAACTAAAAGGAGACGAAGGGAGAGAAAAGAGGCCTGGTTGGGGCAAGCTGGAGGTGCCCAGGCGGCTCTTGGAGGCTCTGGCCTGGCAGTCAGGCCCAGCAGCCCTGTGGAGCCATGGGCTTGTTTAACCCCCAGAGCCCTACCGTGTGGGCCGTCAGCAGGGTCCCTGCAGGGATTCTGATCGATACTCCTGGCGGGGAAGGCCTCTGCTTTTCTTCTCCATTTGCTCCTGTCCCCTAGCGCTCCTGAGCACATAATACCTACTTACCAGTCCTAGCTTCTGCGTCAGTGTCTGAAGAGACTGATCTACTGACCCCAAACTGAAAAGCCTCCTATGTAATAATAACCACTCAACACACTTGTAGTTGCTGATAAAATGGCCAGATAAAAAGGCTAAAGCTCTTGTCCCTTTTCAACTCGGGGTAATAAAACAGACACACATTTGAATGCTTGAGCAAACCAGGGTCCTCAGCAGGAATTTCCTACTCGCTGAAGGGGGCTTTCAGTCTCCTGTGGAGGTGGCTTCAGCTCTCCTCCTCGGGAAAGCCTCCATGCTTCCTGGGGCCAGCCCCTGAGGAGTGGCCCTCTACCCTGACTTTCCTGGGGTGGGGTGGTGGGTCTGGGGACCCCCATGCATGCCACACTCTCCCTTATCCCAGCAATGCTTGGGGCTGAGTTAGGCTAACAGGTAAAGCATTACGTGCCATATCATTTTCTGACACACATAGGCACAAGGCACATGCTTCCTTCCTTCCTTCCTTCTTTCCTTCCTTCCTTCCTTCCTTCCTTCCTTCCTTCCTTCCTTCCTTCCTTCCTTCCAGCTCTGTCCTTTGCAGGACAGGCATGAGGGGGCGGCAGTGCTCTGAGATGGTCTGGAATAGACTAGCTGTCATCCTGCCTTTAATGTACCCTCTACTCCAGCTGCCAAGTTCCTTCTGGCCACCTGTGCCCAGGAAGCCAGCCAATGCTAGAGCTTACCTGAGAGGGCCTGGGGGTGTTTTGGGGGGCCAAGACAAAGGGGCACCACACTGTTCAGAAGTGTCAGTAAGCCTCCAGTTTCTCACCGCTGCCCTCTACCCACTGCTTAATCTTTTCTAGGAACCAGAAGCAAATAAGAGAAAATTGTAGTGGAGAATGAAGTGTAAGCTAAAGGAGAAAGATTACTAAACGCACACCAAAGTATTGGGAGTCCATAGATTTGGGGAAGCTTTTGGGGGGATAGTTTTCTTTACCTTTTCAGATCAATACTGAGAGGCGCTAACTGCCTGGAGATCGGAGGCGGAGGCGGTCAGAGTGGCAACGCCCCCTCCCCAAGCCTGGGTGAACACGCCCCCAGCCCGGTCCGGCGTCGGTAGAGTGCACCCCATAAGCCAGGCGGTGCGAGGAAAGCCCCAGGGAGCGGGAGAGGAAGCCTGAGCTCGCCGCTCCGGAAGCGCGTTGTGCATAGCTCCGAACCGTGCCGGCCGCACACAACGCACATCCCACTTTCAGCACCAATGTAAATCACTGCCACTACGGATTGTCCCCTCGGTGGCCCGCGGATCCGGAGAGATGGCCCCAGTCCAAGAGAAACTGCTCAACCAGACTTGCAGTAGGGTACTGTGTGTCCTCCCCAGTGGGGCGCCTGGACACTTTGGCCCTCTGGACCCACGGCTAGGTCCTGGGGGCAGCGCAATTGCCACGCGCACTGCGCTGGGTCTGCGCGCAAAAAAGCGCGCAACTGTGTGCCAGTCGCAGCCGCTGCTGCGTCTTTCTCTCTCGCTCCCGCCGCCCACACAGGAGGTATCTGTGCTCCTAGAACAATAGAGGGCTGTACCTCGCGGCTCGGCCGCTAGAGGAGGCACAAAGAGAACCAAGCCCGCTCCAGAACAATGTAACCAGCGCGTCGACCCGTCCCCTCCCGCGGGCCGCCTGCCCTCCCTGCCGCCGCGCTACGCGCACAATCAGCGTCCGCTTAATGCAAAGGCGGAGCCTACTGCCGGTGGCCAAGATGCATTAACTAACCTGCATCTTAATTTTTCAACACCTCTCCTCACGAGCGCCCAGCCTCTCTCCGAGCCCAGCCAAACCTCGGGAAATCCCAGCAGAAGCTGGGAGCCGGGCAAGGGTGGCCGGCGAGTTAGTCAGGGAGCTCTCCATTCTTAGTTTTTCCTCTCCCATCCTCCTAGAGGTGAATGTGTTAGTCCCAACCTTCGTCTTTGCACCCTCCCCTCTCTGTAGGCAGTGACACGGGAACTGGCCCAAGCCGGCTCTTTCGGTCAGAAACTCCCCGCGCCAACGCCAAGGCCGGAGATGAGCCTGGAAAGCGCTGTTGTATCCTAGCCACCCGTTCCCCAAGCGGTCAAGATTGTGACTCCTGCTAATAACTAAACAAGTTTGCCTGATATGGTGGGTAGGAAAAGAACGGAAAATTTTTTTTTTTCCTTTCTCAAGAGCAAAGCCCCTCAACTGCCTCCATACAGGGAAACCAGGCAGCCTGGAAAACTGAAATGTATTGTCTAAGCAAGAGTTCAAGTGCACAGGGCTTTGAAAAAGGCCAATCCCGGGTCTCTGTAAGTCCTGTAAAGAGAAAGCTCCTAGGGGACATCGCGCACCCCGTCCCTTGTCCCACAACTAGGGAAGGTCAGAAAGAGGGGTAAAATTGGCACATTCAGGGGAAGGCGAATGAAATGTGGAGGGAGGTCGGTCAATGAAAGCTCGGAGTCAAGGAGGGAGGAAGAGAGGTATGAAGATGCACAAGAAAAAGAGAACAGAAAAGGAAGAAGGGAGAAGAAGGAAATGACAGAAGAAGAAATAAAGTCGAGAGAAAATAGGAAGTGCGGAGAGGAGGAAAGAACCGAGGTTAGGCGCGCTGACCTGGGGCCACAAGCCCCCGGGAGCCCTCTCCACAGCAACCGGGCTCCAGGAGACCCTCTGTGCTTACCTGCCAGGCGTAAGGCGGACATGCGCTGGAACTCGGGCTCCTGCAGCCACTTCCACATCCTGCGAAAGGTCTCCCTGCCAGATTTGAGTTTACTCCACGGTTTTGGGTTGCGGAGCAGGTCGGAGAGAGTCCCCTGAGACCGGCACAGCACCCTCTGCGCGAAGATCGCCTGTGGGATGCTGTAGCGCTTCAGCTCGGCGGTGATGCGCTGGGCCACCTCTTTGGTGTTGATCTCCTCCAGCTGGCCCGATGTAGCCACCTGCGAGCCAGACGAGGACGAGGGTGGCCGCTCACGGCTGGGCGCCAGCACTGGCCCGTGGGACTGAGCATGGCCCGGGTGGTGCAGGCCGTTGAGGTGCGACATCATGGCCGCGGGCGGGGTGCCCAGGCCGCGGGACAGGTGCTGCTCACCGCGGGTCAGCATGGCAGTGTGGTGCGCGTCGAAGTTAGGGCTGAGCATTTTGTCGTGGCCCGGCGGCCCGTAGTTGGGCAGGCTCTGCTGCGCGTTGTGGAGGCCGCCCAGCCCGTTGCCCAGCGGCGTGGCAGCCAGCGGGGACAGGCTCTGGCTCATGCCGGGCATCTCCTTGTAGGGGCTGTAGAGGTTGTTCATGGCCGGGAGCCCGCGCTCGTCGCGCATGAGGGTGAAGCTGCCGCTGACGTTGCCCGACAGGCGCTGGTGGTGGTGGTGGTGGTGGTGGTGCGGGTGGTGGTGCGGGTGCGGGTGGTGGAACTTGTCCGACACGGTGGAGATGGGCGGCAGCGGCTGGAGCGGCGTCAGCGTGGTGTAGGTGTTGCTCATGCCCATGCCGGGCGGGGACGAGTCGCAAGACATGCTCATGGCGTGATGGAGCGGGATGGAGAGCTCGGGCCGGTAGTCGCCGCCGTCCAGGATCGAGGCCATGCTAGTGACCATGGCCGAGCGCGACGCCGCCGCCGCTGCCGCTGCCGCCGTCCCCAGCTCCTGGTGCGCCGTTGGCGGCGGCGGAGGGCCCCGCAGCGAGCCAGCAGCGCCGCGGCCCGCGTGGTGGGGGCTGGGGCTGGCCAGCAGCTCCTGCTCATGGCTTGGGCCCCCGCCGCCCCCCCCCCCCCCCCCCGCCGCCCCCGCCGCCCCCGCCACCGCCCCCGCCGCTGCCGCCGCCGGCCGGCCCGTGCAAAGTGCCCAGACTTTCCATTGTCAGCTCCGGGTTCATGGCGCAGCCTTCTAGGTCTTTGGTGAGGCATCGATAGGCGGTGTAGGCAGCCTTCATTCAGTCCATCGGGGCCCGGGGGCGGCGGGGGCGGCGGGGGCAGCCGGCGGGCTGGCAAGGCGCTCGTGGCGGAGCTCGGTCGCGGGAGCGGGGGAGGGCGCGGGAGTGCGTGAGTGTGTGGAGGGGGAGCGTGCGTGCGGGTGTGCGCCCCGGGCTGCGGGAGGGCAGGCGGGCGCGCCCGGGGTGGGGGCGGGGTGGGGGCGGACCGGGCGTGCGAGCGGGAGAGGGGAGGGGGCGGGGAGGGAGGGAGGGATCACCGGGCCCCACCACTCCGGCCGGCGCGCTGCCTCGCCATGTCCGAGCCCGCTCCGGCGCCGACGTCTTCTGTTTGGGTGAGCGGGAGCTGTCCAGAAGGGCTCTGCCGCTCGCCGGGGCAGCCAACCTAGCCTCCCGGACCCGGGGCGGGGCAGCGCCCGATAGGCGCCGCAAACAGCTACTCCGAGTGCGCTGCTGCCCTGGAGGGCGGGCCTCCTGAGTGCGACTGCCAATGGCTGATGAGGGGGCGGGGCCATGCGTTTCAGGTTTGGCTGACGGCTCTGTGCCTTTTTTTTCCTCCTTTGCCACTAGACTCAAACGTCAAGGAGAGGGAGGGAGGGGAAGAAGAGGGGGTAGTGGGGAGAGAGAGGCGAGAGTGCGAGCGAGGGGGAGAAATTATGTTAAAGATGCCGCTCTGTGTCCCTCTTGAGCAGCTGCGATCTGTAGAAAAGGGCATTGCTTTAGTTCGCTTTGCCTCACCCCACAGCTTTTCTGGAGGCTAGCAAGCCAATATGTACTGTGAGAAAACAAACCCAAGTCTCCTAGCAAGCCATTTCCCAAGCGTCTCTATATGAGAGCCAGTAGTTTACCCTTTTCAAATGCAGGCGCTTATGTATTCTAATGCACGGTAAATTCCCGAGACCGCGGCATGCATAATCTACCAGGCGAAAGGAATCCCAGGACCCTCGCTGCCTTGGAGCTGCGGCCGGCGACGCAAGCCCACAGGCGGCGCGGGCAACCGTAATCCAAGCAAAGTTAACACAATAACATCATTTAATTACCCGGCGAACCCATAAATCTCCCAGTTATGAGGCTTCAGAAGGGCCCTGTTAGATTGCAAAACAAAACTAGAACTCTAGGAGCTGCGGTTTCAAGGTGACCAAATGCTCCCCCCGCTAGCGACTTGTAAGGAAGGGTGGTGGGTAGGGGGCGGCAAGATTGTTGCCAAAGCCTATAGTGAACAAACTTCTCCTGGGAGCGGGGAGTACGTAAACCGTCCGGGACGACACCCGCGGATTTCTCTTCTACCGCGCGCGCGCGTGCGTACACACACACACACACACACACACACACACACACACACACTCGAGTCCCGAGAAAGGAACCCCCAGGTTGCGGCTGTGGGTAGATGACACGGACTGTCGGCCGACATCTGTATATCCAAAACTTGTTTCTGAAAAGACCAGAACCCTGGCGAGTTTCAGAACGCTCGCAAGCCGCAGCTTTAAAAAGTGCACCTTCGTTTACCCAGAATTTCCGTTGTTTGGTAATCCTAGGTCGGGGACTGGAAGTGGAGAGGCGGAGAAAGGAGGTGGAGATTTCCGAGGCCTGGGTGGGGGTGGAGGGGTGGCTGAAGACAGGGAGTTACCCCGCATTGAAAACCTTAAAAGTAACAGATTCTTCCAAAGCAGGTTGCGCTCTGTTTGCCTCCGAAGATTCAAGCTAGCTGAGGTTGCGCAGATGTTGCCTTTGTTTAAAGAGACAGTAATTAAGGACAGGGTGGACATAAGTTTGAGAAGCGTGACCTATTTTCTTTTGATCAGCTGTCAAAAGAAGAGCAGGGGGTCTCCTTAAGACAGCCCCCTCCAACCACTTCCAGCTGTTAGAGAAAACTTGATAAGAAAACAAGGACACGCCGCCTGGAATACTGTATGTGCCTTCCTGGTGCTAGAGAAAGGTTTGATTCATTTGGAAAATAGTTCTTAGTCTTGGTGACCTTTTGTGGCTGCCCTCCTTTCCCTTCTAGCTACAGAGCAAAAAAAAAAAAAAAAAAACCACCCCCTCCCACACCATCCTGTCACATGAACGTACAGTGACGTTATTCATAGATCAACTTCATTGAGCTCTGGCCAATACCTTACCAATTATTCTTTCAAGTAGATTCTTCTTTGAGATATCAGAGCCTGGGTAAGAAAGTGGACATTCCTCTACTTTGCTAGGCATACTTTTCTAGCTGCTCACATTTTTAATGTCACAAAATTAGGTAGAATAACTGAGTTTTTTGTTTCTCTGTCTTTCCTCTCCCCCTCAACCCTCTCCTACTGTCTCTCTTTTCACTCCCCACCTTATATATGGCAGCTGGATACTTGGGATGATTTGAAACAGTTAATGTTTGAAAAACTTAGGAGTTGAACAAAAGTTCACAAGAGCGCAAACCTCCTGTTGGTCTAGGAGTGCTCAGAGACTGAAAGAGGGCGAGAGAGCAGCAAGGCTGGGAAAAGAGTCTGATATGCCCCAATGCTGAACACAGCCTTCCCTGCCCCGGCTTCAGACTTTAAGAGTGGCCAGGCACCCCAGGCTGGGACACTGAGTATGCTCTGCCTCTATACAGAAGCCCGAGTATATAGATGGCCATTAAAATAATTTTTCAAAATGATAAACTCATTTACCAGGCTACCAAGATAAATCTGCTCCTGGGAATTGCATTTTGGTGTGCCTTGGAGCAGTCACGTGCTGGAGAGTTGAAAGGTGAGTTGCATATTCTTGCTGCCTTGCTCCCTCCCTCTCCCCCTCCTCCCTCTCTCCCACCATTCCTCCCCCTTCCCTCGATCAATATTGGCGATCTCAGGGAAATCATGAAATCGTATTGGCTTCTTTGTGTATAATTTCATTTGGCTAGATTAAAGCAGATTTTTCACGTTGTTTTTCTTAATGATGGTTTGAGGTTTTGTATGTCAACCTAAAACCCATTTAAAAAGGAAATTAATGAGCATTTTTAGTCAGCATCCTAATTTTTACTAAATTAGTCTTGCATGCCCTTTCCCTTTCTTTCTAAAAAGGAAAAAATATTTTCTACTTGAAGATAATTTTAAGAATATCAGTATTAATAAGATTTTCAAATGTTTCAAAATATCTTTGATGTTTCTTTCTCTAAGAAAATAAAAGGAAGAGCTGCTTTCTAACTGCCCCTTGTTTACACATGTACTCTAACCTTCAGAAGTTGTGTAACTCAGAATTTAAAAAAAAATTGAAGCTACACTCCTGTCCCCCTTCCCCTCAGCATTTGATTCACAAATAGACTGTACAGAAATATGGTAGCAGGCGTGCTAGTTCACGACTGTTAGAATTTGGACGAACAGTTGCACCAGCCATTATATCAGGATCAGGATATCAATTTCTTAACATACCACATCCGCAGGTCTGATTTTCTTCAAAATCAGACACTTAAACGGGTCAAAAGAAGTCTGTAAATAAAATGCAGCTTTGACAACAAATATAAGCTACTGCATTATAAAAGAAAAAAAAAACTTGAGTTAGGAATTGTAGGAATAGACTGGAGATTTTTACTGCCAGAGCTTTTCATATGTGTTTTCACATTAAAAAAAAATTTTTTTAGGCTCTGAGAGGGACAGAAAGGTGAGCATTCAATTAAAACAGAGACCCTATAAATTATTCACGAAAAAAAAAAATACATAGACCACAAGTAAACCCAGTCTGGATAGGGGCCCAACAGCTTTGTTTCCACTAAACAACAGTAACCACAGCCCAAATCCCAAATAGAGGGGGGCTGCTTATTTCTACCCAAATGTTCAAAATCCTGAGGAAGGTTTTGTGTTGAGAGAACACATTTGTGCTACAACTAGGTTTATCAGAGCAATACAAAAAGACATAATGGTGGGTTGATTTGGACTATTTTATTTTTGTCCTTCCCCAAACCATCTGGCGCGGGAGTGTAGGGGTATTGATCAGGATCTGTGAGCTGCAGACCCCATGCCAATCCATAGCGTTTCTGGCAATCAGTGTCGCCCATGAATTGCAGCTGTCTGCGTGGCTCCCGAAAAGAAATCTTCAGAAAAGTCCCCCCCTTATCAAACACTTCATCCGTTCAGGGGTAAGTCAATATCATTTCTTTGTCATTCCGTGGGCGAGGATTATGCAGGAGAAAGTTTTTGTTGTCAGTCGTAGCTGCTGCTGAGCCTTTTTTTTTTTTTAAGGAAGGAGAGCAATTTTCTAGCCATTGAATGGTAATGGTTTTCCAGAAAGGCCTCAAGCGTTTGTGTGAATCGTACAAAAATGCTGTTTCAATATTGTGGGGGAATTTTAAGGGGAGGGGGGAATTCTTATGTTGCTATACACAAATAATAATAGTGATAACAGAGGGTTCCTTTTAACGACGGAGAAATTTCTCCCCCCCCTTTTTTTTCGGAGCCTCTAGTGATGAAGACACCGCAAGTCTCTGTGATTACCCTTGCAGATGGACGGTGGGTGCTTGTGGCGGAAAAAGAGCCTTCGGAATCGTGGCTCTGTTTGATATCTCCATTAGCTTCAATTTTATTCTGCTTGAAAGCTCAGGCTGGTTGAGCACAGGGAGAAGAAAACTAGAACCGAAGCCCAGCACCACTAACCCTCTTCTGCCTCTCAGGTCGGAAATTCTCTGACACTTCGCAGATTCCAGTCGAATCTAGGAAAGTTGTTGTTGTTTAAGTGTTTTAGGTGGTGAGGCCAAATGGGTCCCTTTTCGTGAACTCTCTTCTCCTCCGCGTCAATCTGGTTAAAATCCGAAACGCCAGTTTAGTTACGAGCTGTCAGGGACTGCCCTTAACTTTTTGGTTGACACTCTGCGCCGGCGCGGAGGAACATTTGGAGTGTGTTAGTGTTCTTCCCACTCTCAGCTGGCCTCTTAGGAAAAGAAAAATGGAGCTGCGAGAGCCCTGCCGGCTGGGGGAGCGTCCACTCACAGCCCCAAGCCCGAATTCGCAGGTGCGGAGCAGGGCTGCGGGGCGAACGCAGCCGGGTGGCTGGGC